TTGTATTACTTTCAGATCTGTACAAGCCCCAATTCTCTCAAGTTTACAGGATAACTAGCTTGCTTTTTACAGCTCACTTTAATACAGAGTTTTTTTAAAAAAAAAAACCTAATATCATCATATTACTACTAAATTTGCAATGAAATTGCATTGTCCAAGTAACTTCTTGAATAATTTTAGTTTTCCTTTTCTCTATTTATATATGGTTATTGTCGATTTTCCTTCTGTTCCTTCAGCTCAAATATGATAAATAATAGCAGCTACAGAGGCAAATAAAACCATTTACCTTACCTTTTTAAATATCCAAACTTTGAATAATCTGGGAATATAGCCTTTCAGATCCTTCACTATAATACTCATGCCTAACCACTGCAACAGTTTCTGAATAACCTCATCAGCGTACAGACACTCAAAAAAATAAGTGTGCTCCGTCCTGCATTTGCCCTGCACAAACCTCATATTTAACAACCTCTTTTACAATCTTAATTTTTTTCCCGTCTTTTTTTTATAGGGCTTTTCTTGACGGCCAACCAACAAATGAAGCTATTCTTGGGCATAACATAAGGACTCCAAGCTATTTAATGCTTGTTATCTTTTAATACTTCTTCCATAAGCCAATTATAACCCCTTCTAGTGCTATAAGTCTTGCCAGCATTCTCCAACCACTGATCATTCTGAACTCCTCTCTTCAACTAGTCTCTTATATACTCATTATTTTCTTCCAGTGCCAATTATAATATGCTGGAATTTCATAATCACATATCTCCTTATCTTTAGGTTGTACATATGCACCCACTTTATTCAAAGGCTTTCTTTTTTTCAATAAAAGTCCCAAAGTTCCTTACCAATCAGGGCTCTAGTCCATATTTCAGGATTCTGAATATGTAATCTACCCTGCGATTTGTCCTTACAAAACTCCTCCCAGGCCATAAGAGGCCAACTTTTCCCTCATTTTTTTACACCCCATAAAAAGACTCTACAAACCCTCTCAATTTGTTTTATCACTTTTTGCTTTCAAACTGTTGAATATATTCAAAACGAATCATCATACATTTATATAATTGAGGAATGTTGATTGTTTCGTCCCTCATTTAATTTTGCCAAAAACATTTTTGGATTAAAGGTTTTCTTTTATTTACAGTTTCATTATTAACTCAGTTATTGCCATTCTCTCTATTTTTATGACTAGCTAACTTTTATACCGCGCATTGCGTGGTAACGTTAATATTCTGCCCAGTACTTATAAAATGTAGTTAACAATAGAAAAGAAATCTGAAGTTTAGGATGACTTGATTATATAAAAGACATGAGGTGAGTTAGCATAAAAAAGTTAGAACTAAATTGATCAATTAAATAGTAAAGGAAGTCTTACAATGACAAAAATTTATTATAATACCATGACGCCATCATTGATCTATTACAAATCCTAATAATTAATAACAAGGCCAACTATTTCACTCTAGGGGTTGATTTGTTCCGATCAGCCCAGTCAAAACCTTCTATAGTTTCACTTCATTTGGGGAGTTTTTGTCATCCACGTCTTTCTGGTTTACTCAACTTGGCAGGGGAATTTGGCCTCCCTATTATTCTTCGTTTCAATATTTTGGAGGGATAACATGGTAAGGTTCAGGATCATCTTCACCTTCTTCTGCGCCAAATAACCCTTATCAAAGCCCGACAACGATTAGATTGACTTTGAGTTTTTTCCTAAAGTAGTTATAGCTTCCGAGTTAAAGAGTCCACAACTCCAACAAATTAATAACCGATAAATTCAAATGCTTTTCTAATTCATGAAGCCTAGCTTCACAGAACTAAATAACATTTGCTGAAAGTTTCTTGAAGAAAAAAACCAAGAAATTATCCGCCTCACAAGTCACAAGCCTCAAGATCTCTCCCATCTAAAATCTGCCCCTTATTGAACTATAAAGTAGCTTGACAGTAATGCATATCCAGGCAATGGAAACTTCACAAGTGGAGATACCACATTTCATTAAAAGAAGAAAGCATAGAAAACAATCAAGTCAAAAAAAAAAATGTCTACGCTTTCATGCTTCAATAGAGAAATGAAGCACTCGACACTTCATTTTTTTTAGTGTCTCGCTCCCTTTTTCCATTTAATGCCATCAAGATTGAAGTTTGAATGCAAATCAACAAAACACTAAGGAATTGTTCGCCACAAGAAACTTCTCAGTTTTGAGGTCTGCTATCAAGAAACTTTTCAGGATCTAAAGCTTTGAACAAATGTCTGACTTATGTAGTTCTGATTTTAGGAAAACCAACAATAAAGAGAAACAAATTAACAAAGTTATGAGTAGCAGAGGCTATTTGAAACTCTAAAAGGCTATTATGCCCATGGAGATTATTTGGGGCATAATAACCTCCTTGTCTAATTTTTTCCTTAGAAGGCTAACCCTGAAACATTCCAAAGATGATTCGCATCATAATAAAAGTGTTGAACACACCCAAACACAATAATTAAACATAGTGCCTATGGAGAAAGCGGAAAAGAAAACACAACAACACCTCCATGGCAGGAAACCACCCAAACCACTAAACATTCCATACATAGAGTTGGTGAAGGTACCTATATATATACGTGATGTGAAAAGGAAAATCCAAACCTAGCATATCCAACAAAAATAGTAGAAGAGAAAAAGGAAAATAGAAAAGAAAGGTAAATACTGGCTGATGAGAATGATGACACAACCTTGCATGGAGAAAAATAATTTAATGAAGGTGGTGGATGTAACAATCGTATATATGGAAGATGAACAATGAACGCAAGGCCGCGAATAACTGCCAAAGAGGTCACCTTTCGAAAATAGCCAATGTTCGAATGGTGCCATACTTTCTTATTTTGGCGATGAAAGGGGCTGATGGCATAGAAAATGTGCGTGAAGGACCCAAGGTACAAGTGAATCTGCCGGCTCTTGTTCCCTTTGAACAAGTTGGTGTTTAGTTGCGAATTGATCTCTAAATGTAGCACCTATCATCCATACAAGGACCCAGTTCCTCAATAATGTAAAACTAGAATCAAGACCAAACAGAGCAAACCCAAACTTGAACCAAACCCGTGACAGGACTTCAAATTCGAACAGCAGAAGAATCAAACCCATGTAAAAGTAATTAATTTCTATTTTTAAAGTTTAAATAGCATGTTGGTTACAAAACCCGCTTCTCAAGGTTATAGAAACAAATTTTCTCTTTGCGTTTGATAATAACCGAATCAATAATCAAAATCCCAAAATCCCAAGCCACCAATATTCCGCAGAAAGAATTTTTTTTAAAATAAAAAATAAAAAAAGTGTCCCAAAGAGGTAAGCTAATTACGAAATAAACAACCCAAAATCAAGTGCAAACCTTGTGTCTCTATTCGCTGATGATGAGGATGCCATGTTTGATGCTGCGGACGATACTTGCAGTAGGAAATTGGTGAGAAATAATGGGGTTTAAGAAATACATCGGAATTGGAACCACGGAACCACGGCATAATGATCAATGGGAAATCAGGAATCATCATCATCTAGAGCGGGGTTAAAGGTGTATATTCAAGGGGTTGCCATCGATAGAAGAGGACATGCCGATTGATAGAGCATAATTTCCAGGTTGGAGTTAACAAAAGGGGAGAGGCGTCGATTGAATGGAGATATTCGAGTAGATAGGGTGCTTAGAATTGGAAATAATCAAAAGAAATATATCACGTGTTATGCACATGGGTCCAACCAAATTGTAGGAAACAAATTTGGTATTGGCAATTTTATATGTGTACTTAACAATAAACACTCCCTTATCACCGAACTACATAACAAATCTTTGATCTCCGTTTTATTAATTTCTTCTTTTATTTTTATTTTTAATATTTTTTTTAAAAAAATTATTTCTCACTCCTAGGTGAATTTGGTCAGTCGATTTCAGAGATTCTCTCTAAATTCTTACGTCTTTCTTTCTTCGTCGCTATCTTCCTTTAAATTTAATAAATTAGTTTAAATTGTCCCATAACTCAAACTGATATTAAATCTAAATTTATCAATATATAATTCTAAATGGTGCAAGAATTTTGTCACTTCTCTCTTTTTCTTTCTTTCAAATCTTTGATTTTATCTCCCCTTCATAAGTCTTTGGAGGTAATATTTTGTTGTTCATCTCATCTTTTTGTTATGGAATTTGATTTTGTCTTTGGTTTTTTTTCTTTTTTTCTTCTCTTTTAAAGTGTTGAGTGCGTTTTATTGCTCACTTTGCATATTTAATTTTTGTTCTTTACAATTGGAATACAACATGTCAATACCGTTCAAAAAAGTAGTGACAGATTTTAGTGATACCATATTGTTCTTACACTATTGGATTATATTTTTCCTATTAATAAATTTGTCAAAATATTTTATAAATAGTGTAATCGACAATAACGATCATAATTTTTTAATATTATATTATTATAAATATCACAATTATTATAAATATCACATGCACAAAACGTGTCTAATCCATCTAAATATATATAAGTTAATTATCTGCAATTGAGAAAGTAAATATTACTAAATTTAGTAACTATACTAAGTAATCAACAACATGTATACTACCAAACAATACAATTTTCATGGGGACCAAAAAGAATCTAATATAAGTTTCCTCAAATTTACAAGTATTTTAATCACTCAAAGAAAAACTAGTATTTTAAAAAATTAATGAAGGAGAGAAAAATGAAAATACCAATAGGATATATACCCCTAAAATAAAATGAAAATCATAGCGAGAAAAGGGAAAAGTAGGTACAACGTTAACGTTAAAGTTATAAAAGCCTTGGTGTGGTGACAAATTCCGGACGTTTCCCCAGATAAATGGTGTCACCTAAATGCTAAATAGTGTCAAATCCATAAACCTTCTCCAAATTCAGAACTCATTATGGCCTAGTTGAGATCAACAAAGGGTGTATTTGGTCAAGTTTGTGCTTTCATGAGAGAAAGGAAAACGATCTCAAATCCAGAGAGAAATGTTTGGAGAGAATGAAGAATGAGCTTCTTTCTCAACAGGATATTTTTGAGAAACAGGAATCTAATCTCAAATCAAAGGAGAATCTTTTGCAGAGAAGGGAGTTCGAGCTGACAGAAAAGGTAAAAGTTTTAGAGACCAGGGAAAAAATCATTGGTTCCAGAGAGAACATTCAGCGGGCAAGAGAGGGTGGGCTGAAGCTCAAAGAGAAGGCTTTGAAGATACGGAAAAATGAGATTGACTAGAAGGAAAGCAGTTTGAAGAAAGGGCAAACTGAGTCGAATAAGGAGGAGCTTAGAAGGATGAAAAGGGAACATGAATGCTGGATGATAAGCTTGAACCAAGGGGAAATTGAGCTGGATTCCAGAGGTAGAATTCTGGAGATCAAAGAAGTTGAAATTGCTTCTGACAAGGAAGCATTGATAAAATGGGAAGATAAGCTGCAATCAGATAAGAAAGAGCTTGAGAGAAAAGTAAAGCTGATTTCAGAGAAAGAGCATTGTTTGCTGAAAATGGAAAACGACATTAACCCAAAGACCACCGATTTGGTGGAAAGAGCAAATGAGCTTTTTTCAGAAGAGGAGAATTTGCAGCGGAGGAAAACTGATCTTGATAAGAGAGAGGAAGTTGTAGGTATTAAGTTAAATGAGCTACATTCTAAAGATAACTTGTTGAAGAGACAGGTTGAAGAACTTTATTCAAGGGAAATTGTTTTGAAGGGAAGGGAAGACGAGCTTACTTTGGATCAGAAAATCTTTGAGACTGGGGGGAATGAGGTTGATTCTATAGAGAAAGACTTAGTGAAAAGGAGAAATCAGCTTGATTCCTTTGAGAATGATTTGAAGACAAGAGATGCTGAGCTCACTTTGGAGAAGCAACGTCTAGAGGAAATGGAAAGTGCGCTCTGCTCCAAAGGGAAAATGATGGAGATATGTGAAACTGAGCTTTCTGCTGATATGGAAGAGCTTGGAATAATACAAAATCAGCTTAATTGGAGATTGAAAATCTTGTCCTTAAGGGAAGATGAGCTTGCTTCTTCGGGAAAAGACTTGGGGAAAAGGAAAATTGAGCTTGATTCCAATGAGAATGATTTGAAGAAGGGAGATGCTGACCTCACTTCAGAGAAGCAACTTCTAGTGGAAAAGGAAAATACGCTCTGCTCCAAAGCAAAATTACGGGAAACATGTGAAAATGAGCTTACCGCTGATAAGGAAGAGCTATGGAAAATGGAAAATCAACATAATTAGAGATTGAAAATCTTGAACATAAGGGAAGATGAGCTTGGTTCTACTGAAAAAGATTTGGAGAAAAGGAAAGTTGAGCTTGATTCAAAGGAGAATAATTTGAATACAAGGGACGATAAGTTTGCTTCAGAAAAACAACTCTTAGAGAGAAGGGAAAGTGAGCTCAGATCGAAAGAGAAACTCTTGAAGAGCTTTCTGCAGATAAGGAAGAGCTTGGAAGAAAGGAAAATCAGCTTGACTGGAGAGTGAAAATCTTAAACATAAGGGACGATGAGCTTCATTCTGGAGCTAGAAATTTGGCCAAAAAAGAAAAGGAGCTTCATTTGAAGGAGAAACAAATTGAGACATGGGAAAATGAGCTTGTCTTGAAATGGAAAGATCTTGATCAGTCCAAGGCAGAACTTGGTTCAATAAAATGCAGGAAGGTAATGGACAGTTCCATGCTGGAAACTGGAGAAAGTTTTGAAGCTACAGTAGAATGCATGGACATGGATATGGATGAAACAAATTGAAGGAGTATAAAAAGAAAAGGCACAGACAGAAAAGACAACGGAAGAAGAATCAAGGCTCGGGATTTTGGTAAGTCTGTATGAATATCTTTTCCATTTATGGTATAGTTCTGATCCAACCCTTAATTGTCTCCTTTTTGCAGATAAAATGAAAGATCCAGGTTCCATTGAGCATACATGCTAGTACGATGGTGATGTTCATGATGGTTGATTTGAAGCGGATCGTTTGTTCATATTCCAGGTTGAAATGGTGAATTTGGTTCTTTGTTTGTCTGTCTGTTTAGAGTTTAGACAAGGAATCGATTGTAAATTTCGATACCTCGCGCAGTTTCAAGGTTCTCAGACCGTGTTTTGATTGCTCTAAAATATCTTCGAAATCTAAACATTTGCAGTTCCTGTAATTCACAATTTGTTGGCCCGGTATTCCCCTCAATTGGGTCAACAAGGAAACAAATAAAAGCAAGCCAAATTTGGCTTTGGTTTTAGGAAATAAAACCCATTCCAATTGGGAGAAACAAAACCCACTCACAAAGATCACATCGATTGGGAGAAATTGTTCATCACGATTCCAAATTGTTCATTTATTATGGCTATACTTTGAAACTTCAGAGTTATATAACTAGAAGGATTTTCCTAATCATGTAAAAAAAAAATTTTTAAAAAATACTTTCGTTAACAATTACTGGAAACGGTCGAGTGCCGATTGAGAAATAAAGTTCGGAGCTTCACTCCAAAAATTTTCAATTACAGAAGCCGAATTGACAAACTTAGCAAAGGAATGAGCAATAGCGTTGTCCATTCTCTGAATGCATGAGATGTGTCTGACTGGAAGATCATGACACATATAAATTGCATCTTCCTAATTGTGTAAATCTGATTTCGAACAGTTTTATGTAATGCGTAATTAGCTGCAGATTTTGTCCTATGTACATTAGTGTTTCATTCGGTAATTAATTAATAGGAGTTTCCTGATTGACCTGGTTCAATTTGCAAAATAGGTTACCCATTTTAGTATTGCTTCGATCTACACCAGACATGTATTGCACTGCTAGTGTATTTGTCTACCATTCGTCACAATAAATTGTCTAATAACAAATTTGCCCATATAAATTAACTCGAGTACAATCTTTTCATTTTTCCTACAAATTTTTCGTCCCACTTTTTTTTTGGGGGTGGGGTGGGTTGAACGAAATTTTACGTGAATTAATATATTTCATCGATTCAAAATTATTGTCCAATTTAGATTTTATTATTTAGCTAATTTTGTGTTAAAAAATAAAAATTCAAACTCGACAATAATTTCAGATAAAGTATTTATTCTTCATGTAACCAAACATTTTTATGGGAATTAATTTCGGAATAGAAAAGTACAACTCCATTTGTTAAAAGCTAAACAACCAAGCATTTTCTGTTCCTAGAAGAAAATAACCAAAAAAAATTTTAAAAATGCCTTGATGCACTTTTAGTTATTTTCTTAATTTTTTTTTAATTCTTCTGCCTTCAGAATAATAGTCAACTTCATTGATTTAAAATCTATAACAAAATTGACTATTTTTATGAGATAAAAAAATGTTAAAAAAAATTGTATCGAACCTTTATTTAGTTTTTTTTTTCATTTTGTTGTACGTGACCTTTATGTTATGAGTGGCGATTTTTGCAAAACAATTTCAAGCATCCAAAATAAATTTAGGATGAAAAGATATAATTATCCCTCTTAAATTTACTTTGCTTATCATCTTCTTCCATATTTCTTCTTTCATGCTTTACCTCCCTCTAGCCGCCATTGCTGAAAGGATGAAAACGAGGGACGGTCATCCATGGCCAAATTCATTTTCATGTCATCCTTCATAGCCTTGATTAGTGAAGGACATATTCGATTAGATAAAACTAGAAAAAGTATTCGCGGCTTATTAGCATTCTTATATTCCAAATGCTTGTTTCAAGCAATTGGTTTGGAACATTGACGATTCTTTCCCGTACTATACATTACAAACAATTATTTGATTTCTTAATACCAAAATCATCCCATGAAATGGTAAAGGAAGAGAAACTAATACATCTGCTCTTTTCCTTTTTGGAATGGGAAGAAACTCTAGACTCTAAAAAAGGCTGGCACAAAGAAGGCAATTTTCCTTCTTTTTTGTTTCTTTTGCGGTGGCAGGGGCGGAGGACGATTGAATTGAGGAAGAGGCCGCAGCGAAAGGAGAAAGAACATGGATATATTTTTGGAGGATGATTAAGTCTTTTTATTTTAAAATTGTTGTGGAAGCTAAAATTTGTTTTGATAGAATCGTCACCATTATGTTATTACTTTATCATCTTACTTTACATGCCAATTGTGGTGTTTTTTGTTTGTCACATAAAATGCTCATTTTGAGTTTTATCAAATTTGATTTTCCTAAATATTCTTTTACGTAATTAGTTAAATATAAATTTATCTACCCCACATAACACGTGGGTTTAACACCTAGTTCCTCTTTCGTTTCTTTACAGGATCATCAGTTTGTTCCTCATCTTTTCTGTCTTGATTTTGGCCCTTCAGACACCTTTCTTCTACACATAGCCCACACGGACTTTAACGCCTTCTACCTTCTACAAATTCTGGCTCATACGGGTTTTATCAACAGATGGATTAGTTAATAAAAAGGCTAACATAGGCTACATTCACATTTTACGGTTAGATGGCAAGGGGTTTGGCATGGAAAAAGTAAACACGCTAGAAATTAATGTTTTGTTAGTTTTTTGTAGCTAAAATATAGTTGTCTCAGCATATAACCACAAAAATTCCTTCTGGTTTTTCTATTGAGTCGAGTATGCGGAGACATTAAATTTTAACGTAAAAATTTATACATTTTGTTATTAATTTACGTATCTATCCAAAATTTTATAATTTCAAGAGTTTTATTTTCTGAACTCGCTACTTTTTTGCGAAATACTTTAAGCTCTCTTTTATATATGTTTGTAATGAAAAATGTGTATATCACATCTCTTGTGATACAATAAAAATTGGTAACTAGTCTCAATGTAAATGTAACTACCTACGCTGGAAAGTCAGCTGTATTAACGCATAGCATAAATTCGTACGCCATGTGGGCAAAAATACAAAACAAAGATAAAATTGTGGAGAACCCATTGTCACAACCTGCTGACAAACCATTTACAGCAGTATAGCTGTCCTATGTATATCCATATATGAAGTATATATAGCATGTTTTCCAAGAATTCTACAAATCAAAAAGAGGCATCCCTTTGTACCCATCAGGATAGAAAAGAAATCTCAAAAACAAAAAGCAAAGGGCGGTAAATGACAATATCATTGATCTAGTATTTTTCCTTTGGTTCAACTTTGTTGCATTAATGTCGTCGGGAGTGGTTGATTATGGGAATGTTCAAACAACAAAACATAAATGACTCGTTTCTCACATTAACTAAACTGGATCCAACAGTTCATTTATAATGCTTAATGATTCCAGCTTGAGCGTTTGCAAATTTTCCGGCAAACAGAAATCATCAATCTCTCCGGCAGGTTGGGACAGGTGGATATATACATGTTTAGTTCATATGTAATATATAGATTATTTGAATCATTGGTATTTTAAGGGGGAAAAAAGGAAAAACCTCACAAAATTGTTAGTCTCCCCATTAATATTTATGAAGACCAAGTTAAACTTAAGCAACAAACCCTTCTTTCATTAGCAACTTATCTTTTAACAAAATTTAGTTTCCTTAGGGTAAAAACAAAAAAAGAAGTACAACGTCGCGCTCTGAAGTCTTACCCCATAAAACTTTCATATACTCTCGGGTCGTGTACGGAGTACATTATTTTTGTCTTAAATTTGGAATGTTGCGTCTTGTTCTAGTTATCTTGATCTGCCATTTGGTTTCAAGGAAATTCGTTTGTGAAAGTAGAATAAAACTCTGACGAGTTTATAAACTTTTCATTGATAATTGAAACAGCATAAATAGTGGTCCACTAAATTGAAAAAGAAAATGATAAGACGTAAGAAAAGGTCCACGAAATGGTTAAATTCTATATTTTTGTACCATATTTAATTTTTTTGAAAAAGGGAACAAAATGAACGAGCAAGCAATCAAAAGTTTTTTTTGTCTTTCTTTTGAATTCAACTAGATGTTCTGCCCGTACGATATGCGAATTTGATTTTAATATTTTTATGAACTACTTATAAAATAGATTTAAAAATCCCATGTGTATAAATCATCATGAATGCAATAATAATTTTTAAAAATTTGAATAAACAAAAATGTAATGACATGATAAATGAAAGATAATTTCTTTTGTACACTATAAATGTGCATGATACAAAAATAAAATAAAATTAAAAAGTACTACTATTGTACCAATATGTTAAAAACCAAATGAAGAAATTCCCGTGATTTCTTGATGTGTAAATTCATTTTGTGAAGTATTGCTACTACAATGATACCATCATGAGAAGATAAACAACACTTACAGTTATGAAGCTAATGGTCCGATTCTATGTTCTATTCCCAAAAAAAAAAATCAATTAGAAAAATCAATCGTGTTAATCTTGAAAAAAAATAAAGTTCAAGGCTTTACAAATCCCATTTATGAATAAGTAAGCCAATAATACCTTATACAATATGATGATAATAAGCGCATCTCCTTTGCTCAGTATATAGCTGGATATAAACACAAAAATATTCAAAGTTAGGAGGGGAGAGAATCGATTAATCATTGAAAACGTAACAGGCAAACGAAAAAAAAATTAAACACTAAACAGGTTTAGAATGGGTAGGAACAATCTTGATCAAAGATCATTTATACATCAATTTTCCTACGATTAATGATCAAGATGCTAATTATTGCATTTTTATACGATTCAAATAGTGTGATTGGAGAGATTATTTCAATTTTTTTTTCAAGCTTCCTTTACGGTTTGATAGATGATAAGAATTACACATTAATTCAAAATTTGAAAATAAATAGTACCAATTAGTATCATTGATTCATGCATTATCTT